ATACAGGACAGACCAACATTTAATGCAGCGACAGATCGACATCAGTCAGCTTTCTGCACTTTCCACCTGATCACATCTGTCTTCAAAGTCATGTCACTTTCACTTTGGTTCATTTATGTTTACTTTTAAATTTGCAGTGACAATAACGTTAGTGACATAGTGCACAGATTATTTCCTATGGACTGCTGGGTTATCTTGGTTTATTTAAGTTAGTATTTTTAAAGGTGCAGTCAGTCATCTTTTAGGTTACTTGACAGAAAAAACGGATCTTGTACTCATAAACATCCATAGAATAGTGGATAACAATGACACATTGTTAAATGTGTCATTAGTCACTGTTTAATTCCTCATTCTTTAAGCATTATTCATCCTCAATATGTCATTTATAAATACAGATATACATTCTTAGAAAGAATCAATTCTGAGCCTGATCTCCTTACTCCAAGGACCTTTTCTGAGTTATCATTGTACCGGAGGAGGAGGGCATCCACTACTTATTTCATTTCACCTGAGTTCACCTGTGGGAAAGCACAGCCCCTGAATATTTCTTTGAATTCAGGAGGACTTGGGAACTAATCTTGAGTGATTATCTGACTAAAGCTAACGAACCAGAGAAATTCTAAATTCTATTCTAAAACATCCCAGGTCTGAATTTGTGTCTGCACCTTCACACTCCAGATATGAAGGATCATACCTGTTTTACCTCCAGCGTTGTGCCAAAAAGTCATTGTTTACCAAAAACTGATTTCCAGCGTTTCAGTGTGTTTTTTATGTGTAATGTTTTTACTTATATTGATAAATAGTCTTTAGTGAACATGATTTACGAAAGGGTTATATGTCAAATTTAATAATGACCCGTTTTTTCAAGTATCTTTATGACTGTGTTATTTTAACTACATTAAAACCAATCCAGTCCTTTTGGGCCACTTCAAAGCTCTCAAACCAGAAACATTAGCTGCTAGGCAAGGCTAAAGCTGCGACCTGGCACGTTTAAAAGCACATGGCTGAGACACCAAAAGACACTTGGGAATGTTCACGTGTTGATAATATGTGATCAGAAAATAAATTAAGAAAGACTGAAAGTGCTGCCACACCAGGGAATTGATCAAGGCCCTACAGGTCCTGTAAAGGAAACACCTAGGCTAGGCTAAAGCTAAAGCTGCGGTCTGGCCCGCCTGTGAAGTGGGAGTTTTAAAACACACTTGGGAATGTTCACATGTGTACAATATGTGATTAGAAAATGAATTAGGAAAAATTGGAAGTGCTTTCACACCGGGGAATCGATCTAGACACTAACCGGCAGGCTAGGCTAAAGCTAAAGCTGCGATTTGGCACGCCAAGTGAATTAACTGTTAATTACCTTGCAGTGAGTTCTATCA